TATATTTCAAACATAAGTAGTTTTAACAAAACAAAAATTAGTTAATTCTAGTTTTAAATATTCAAAATCAGAATTTACTAAAGGGATTTGTGGTAACTAGTTTTTAGATTTCGGATTTTAACAGTGATATGTACAAGATACAGAAAAATATTTATTTTATAAAATATTATAATCTATTACTTAATACATTAAATGCTAATTTATTGAACACATTTTATCTATAGTAGCAGTTCTCAACCTTTTTTTTCTTCCTATTTTATTAGCTTAATATTTTGTTACATTGTATCCTTCATTATAACTTTTAACCTCTTTTCACAAAACAACATTAAAATTGTTTAAATAAAAAAATAAAAATAATATAATATAATGTAGTACAATGTTATATAATGAGTATATGTTTATATTTTGTAATAAGATCCACAAAAACAAATTCATTATTTTTATTTTATTTAATAAATAAAAAAATATACTATAAACATTTCGGAGCAGCCCACTTACGCCCATTACACTATTTTTATAGCCCATTTTTGCTCGGAATATTTTTAATGCAAACCATACATCGTTGCGAAACTGAATTATTTTAAAATTGAACACTCATATATTATTGACAAATTAAACTATTTCTAGTGTTTTATTTTTTTTCGATCTTATTGAATATCGGTCCATTTTATCTTAATTGCAGTTCATGACAAATCTCATTTCCCTCTGTGAATCTTATAGTGAAGCTATATATTGTACTTACTATTTAATTTACAGTATTACAAATCTTAAAAATTAAAATGGATTTTAAAATAACAAATAATTTTAAAATCCACGAGTGTTTTATTTTTTGTAACTTTAAATTCCACTTAAGTAGAAATTTGGTTTCGAGAAATATAAGTTGAGACAATCATAATATTAAATCACAATTGTGTACGAAATAGTTGCATATGCATAAGTGTGTTCACAGCTATGACCACTCTGGCAAAGGCCAGATCTGCAAAACCCAGCTCCGTTTTAAATTTATGCTTAAATCATTAAAAATAATTACTAAAAAGTAAAACGAATGATTAAATAAAACAGAACTAAATAATAAATATTTTCACATAAAATATTATATATGTATAATATATCTGTGACAAAAACTAACCAATAATATTTATTTTCTAATATCTATAGCTATAAGTACCCGTGTAGTTCTAGTTGTATTTTATGTTATATACCTTTTATTTTTTTGAAGAAATTGAGTATAATATTTACTAGCTATAGTTACTGTAGTAGCTACAATTATTACGTACGTTCTCGAGGTAGTGTATCGTGTATAAGTCACTATTTGTCTTCGTATCCTAAATGAAAATTTCAATTTTCCTAATGAAAAATGTTATTGGCCATACTTGCACGAAATTTTCAGACACGCCTATGTGCATATGGGCTATAAATCGAAAGGCAAAACCTTAACTTATGGGTGCAAATGGACTACTCAGAGGCACAAATGGGCTGTACCCAAAAATTTAGTGAGATCCTTGGTCTTAGTACGAATTATGTCATTTATATGATCAGGTTCAAATCTTAAATATGGAGCTGCGTTCAGTTTATTACATTACTTATTATTATATTTTATTATTATTATTATTATTATTATTATATTACGTATGCATATAAAATTATATAATCTACATTAGACACTCCATTTCTATAAGTTGATAGTTATTAATTGTTAGTTTATGGTTCGTTTTTAATGAAATATTTACATATTTCCGTAACGAATAGTTTTGAATAAAATAAATTCAACATTTTTCGTCGTTATCAAACTTTTTTCACATACTTCTTGAGATTATTCCCCGTACTCCAGGTTGGTATTTCTGCAATTGTTTTAAGTGTTGATTATTTTTTTAAATATATAGTATATTAAAATATACAATGTTAATTTATATTTATTAATTCATCCTTCAGTAGACAAATTAAAATTATTTTTAAATATTGAAAGAGTAACAATATTACAATATTTAATGTCTAACCGTAAAAATGTATATATTTTCCAATCGATATATAAGTAGGATAATTATGTTAATTTTATCTAAATAGAAATATTAAATATATTTTAATTTCATTTTGAATATATATTTTATCTGAACTAAAATATAATATCACATGTTAAAATAATTTATAAACTGGCATTGAAATGGTAAGTTATTAAAAATAGAACGCAGTATTCATTAATACAAAACAAACTCATAGAAACCAGTTCATACTATGATTTAAATGGTTAATTAATAATCGCCAATCACACAAAAAAAAAATTAATTACAAATTCAAACTTAGAATGGCCGTGAAAAAATTTATCCGAAAATTCTTTTGAATTTGAAACACTATGTTAAATGACTCAGCTTTTTTGGTTTAACCTAAAATAAAACATTTGAGACATAAAAACACGAAATTACTCTTTTTATTAAAATGAATAAAAATACTCACGGGACTGAAATCAACATAATTTTAATTTTTTTGTTCAGTTTTTTCTTGCACATAGAGAATCATCTGTTTAAAAGTGTTATCAGCGTCGGATTTCTAATCTAAAAAGTTGATGTATGAAAATATATGTTAATGCAGATTTTAAATTTAAAAACCTGATCATAGAAAAAATTAAAACCTTATTGTATAGTCGATATATTTCCGACTGGAAATCAAATATTATGTTATGGTTGTACTTTTGCGTAGGTATGTCAAAAAAATACAATTATAAAATTGCATACATGTACACGAATACACGATTGTGCTCTTATTTTTCTGTCAAAAATTAAAATTGAAAAAAAAAATAATGACATTTTATTATGAATAATGGAAATATTGATTATTTCACTGGTTATGATGACATTCTTGTGACGTAAATAGTAATTATTTTACAACACGAGTGCAAAAATATGTTCAAATTACTCTCTTTACATCGCTATAAACTAAAAATAATGACTGTAGTCATCCATGTCGAACCGATAGTAATTGTTACCGTTATATACGTAATTATTTAACTGATTATCATACTATTGTCTTGTGAAGGTAACACATATTATATGTTTGAAAATATAATGTAAATAATACACATATAGGTATTTTTTTATACGTATTGTCCCATGTGGGTTCGCTTATTTAAAGTGTTGAGATAATGGATGTTACATTACTCTCATCTTGCTAAAATCCTTTAGGGGTACTGCCGTGAATATTATAATTATTTAAAATGCACACAATGTAAAAACTAATTATTGACACTAAATTTAAATTGATGATAGTGAGATAACACACTTTAAAATTGTTTAAACACTGTAATATATGCTTATTATATAAAATATATATACATATTATAGTTTGTTATATTATAGAATAATAAAAAACACGATTATGAGATCTAATAATCACACATTTTCAGAAACATTATATAAACTTATAAATGGTTGATTTTGTTTTTCTTATTGATCAGTAAACTTCATCAGATATTAAGTTACGCATCTAAAAGATTTAAAAATACAATTCAAAATATTTTTATGAAGAAATTTAGAAATTCTTTTTTTCTTGGAACTACTTATTTTTGTAATTGTTTGTTTTATACTTTTTGTTTTTCATTTTTTTAAATCTCTTAATTTTCGAAATGTAATAATTATTATGTAGTTTTTATTAAGTACTAGGTTATAGTAATGCATTGATATTTCCCTCACATTCTTGTTTGTGTCGATACTGTTCATATTTCAGATACTCGGTTAATTTTGTGTTCCACCATACATTTTACACTGAAAACTTCGTGGGTAAAAATGTTTATTTCTGCTATATATATATATACCTTTCCTTAACATTATTATGTGGTTGTTGCTTAACACTATAAAATATCATGACAATTGTGTCGTTTTGCAGTGTAAATATTTCTGAATTTCCTAACTTAAATCGTTCAGAAATAATATTCTCATAATTATAAACAAGTCGAAGCAATTCAATAAATATTTTTTTTGAGAAAATGTTAAAAAAGAAATGAAAAACAAAGATTCTACCTTTTAAGTTATTGTTCTGAAATATCATTATATTAAGAATTTGTACAGGACATTTGGAATGAACTTTTTGTTAGTTAAGAAAGAAAAAATACTTTGAAAAATATCGTTTGAGATAATAATATTATATTTATAAATTATGTTAGTGAAACACACTGTGGTAATTTTTTCTTGTCAACCCATTAATATTTAACAGACAAAAGAAAAAGAAACAACGAAGATCATTTCGTTTTATTTTTCGCTCCATTTAAAATTTCATTTTACATTTCGCAAGCTTTCGATGTTCTATTCAGTGATCGTTTTAATAAATAAACAAAATTACAGTAGTTTACTAGCCATTACTATGGTTGCTTTTTTTTTTTTGAGTCTTGTACGATATTTGTTTTAACTTACAAACTGCCAATCATGCTTATTCATCAGTTCGCATTAGAAAATTTGATAAAAAATTTTCATTTTTTATAAAATTCAATGTGAAATTAATTTTTAAAGGGAAGATGTCGATAATTACATAATATTTTGAGGACAATTTGAAGAAGAATACTTAATTTAAAAAATATTGAATGGTAATCACTATACAGTTGGTTATTACTGTTGATATATCATGCATGATGTATTTAATTAAAAATATTAAACAATTTATTCTACTATACTGATTTTGAACAATTTCTTATCCGCTACTAATTAAAAATATGAAATAACCTCATTATAATTAATTTAAGTAAATATCAAATTATATAAAATAATTTTTACATAAAAATATATTTTCACTTTATTCATTAAAATAACTATTTAAGGAATTATAAAAAATAATTTGAAAATCTAAAAAATAACTTTTTGTAAATAATTTTAACGTAAAAATATGTTTATTTTTATGAATTCATAACCATAACTTTGTAGTATTTGAACTATGAACATGTTTAAAATATGTTTTTGAATTGTGTGTAAAATACTTGTATAATAAGTTGTTAAATCTATTAAATTTACATGTTTCAGGGCGATCAACAGCCACAATGTTTATCACAAGCATTTCCATCCAATTGAGTATATAATCCTCAACGAATGACTTTCATATATTTCAGGGAAATGGTACCAAATTTGTTTTTAGTTGCATTGCTTATAAATGGTGAGTTTTCATATTTTATTATCTTTTAAAATTAACTATACCCATATTTCCGAAGGAAAAATGTGTATGCTATATATTTTTATTTGTCTACCTCTACAGCTATTGTTTAGCGTACTTGACCTATAAAATAGAATAAATGCAAATTGTATGCTTAAAAAAAAATTTATTTTGTTTATAAATAAAAAAAATTAAGAAAATAAACTCAATCTACCGGAACATATTTATTGAAAATTTATCATAAAAAAAGGCGATATTATTTATTTCAAATCTAGTAATCTTAAAGGCCCTTAAACGATCGTAATAATAAATTAAATGTTTTACTAAAATTTAAAATATTTTATTATTATTTCTTATGCGCAAAAGAAATAGAAATAATTTTTAAAAGTTAAAAAATTAAAGATAATATTTGTATTCTATTGTTAGGAATTTATTGGTACAATGTAAAAATAAACTTCATAATTAAAATTTCACTTCTCTATAAAAAAAGAAAAAAAAACACTGTATAAAATTCCTTTTGTATTTTTTTTTTTTTTTTATATATTAAAAATGATTTTACTGAAATAAATTATAATTATAACCTTTTGAATAATATCAGAATATTTAAAGTCAAAAAACGACAATTTAATATGTAACTAAAATTTTATTCTTGAGAAATATAGTATTGATTTATAAATAATAATAGCACAATTGTTCATATAAAAGTTGAATACAAATCATGACTTTTAAAATAAAGTACAATAAGCTTTAAAAATAAAAATATAATTTTAGTTTTTAATAAGAATTAGAACTATAGTTGTAAATAATGTTTATTCATGCTAGTTTTAATGATGTATATTTTAATTTTGAAATATTACAGGTAAGTTTAAAATGTTTGTACATGTATAAAATTCTTCATGAGTTTAAAAAAATGAATTACCTATTGAATCTTATGAATAAAGTTATAAAAAACAATTTACCGCTTCTATGAAATATATCATGTAGCTAATGAATGAGAATATTTAAAAATAGGACTATTTTCCATACTTGAGATAACAATTTATATTATTTATAGTACAATCACTACCTAGAAAGATAGTGCTTCGGGTGGTAGGTCACTATCGTTTATTGAAAGTTACAAAAAAACAAACAAGGATCGTCTTTCAGGTTGAGATATAGACAAGACAATCATAACTGTGGTCCTTGATAATGTTTTTTTCTTAAAAATATCTATGCATTATATTAATAATCTATGCAACAAGCAAAAATGAAAATTATAAAGTAATATAGACAATAATAATCGATCAGGCGCCCAACCCCTCCCTGCACTCTCCTTTTCACCTGCCTTGCTGGAGCTATTCCTTGTCGGGCCTATCACTCGCACTTCGCTTCCTCTTTGGTAATCATCACTTCACGTACGAAGTGTGAAACCACCTCCCAACTGACCGAACTCACCACTATTGAGGGTACCAGTCCATCCGAGTCAAAACGTCTGATCCGCCGGACGAGACACTTCCGGTCTCCGTCAAACATCTCACAGCGGACGAGTGGGGGGGGGGGTGCATCGTCTATTAATTCCACGTAAGCCGAGAGACAATCCCCCGCGGGTTCGTGAGTCGATCACCTCATGACGTCGACCGGGCATTTAAGTCTCCCCTAACGAAGAGGTAAATCTCTACCACGAGGCACTTTCCCACGGAACCCTCAAGACGAGTCAGAAATTAATCGAACTCTATAATGGACATGGCTGGTGAAGCGTGGCAGCTATGGACTTGCACTGCGCCACCCACAGTCATTGCAGTCCCACACGATGATTCGAAATGCTAGCCAGTGGGGCCAACATCGTACGGCTCACTGACCAACGCTACCGCGATTTCATCCGACCAGAAAAAAATCCTAAGCGACCAATCAGTGATTGAGGTTCATTTGCACGTACCTAAGCTTCATCGCGATGTTGGATCAGGCCACAACGACGAACCGGTAATATACCGGCCCGATTCCTCTCCCGCCGACTCCTCCGAAAGCCGTTCCTCTTCTTCTCGTTACCTGGTTATTGGTGCGAGTGGTGCCTCCTTATACATTGTTAGAATATTCTCAACTGTGCGGCGTCGGTGCACTCTACGGCAAGATGCTACTTACCCTGGTATCGGAATCAGGTAGGCTGTCTCTTCTCAACCAGCTTGACCCGATACCTTATCCAATCGACCGTTACCATACCATTTTGTACGAGGATGATTGCCGCCCGAAAGAGCAGAAATATCCGGACTATATAGTTGCCTTGTCCGTTTTCATTTCCGGCAGCTGAATTCACGCCCTGTTGCCGACAACCTCTTTCACTTTTTCCATCAGGAAAACGACGTTTTTGAGGTAGGCTATCTCGAGGAGGATGCCTCCCGTTCACACTTTCCTGATCGTGTAGATGATGCCAAGGGATGCCAGGTCGATGGTGCTCACGACCCTCCTCATCACCTCAGACAGTAATCCTTCCTCCTGAGACCTAACCTTTGGACTGTATATGGTAACCACCACTATCCTTGGCACCCTTCGCCACAACAGGGTGATCTGCTCATCCGTCCGATTCCGGCTGCCTGGAAGTGTTGGCGGTGGTCTGGCGGAACGGTCGTTGCTGCCTCTCCACAACACCTGGCTCCAAGTCTACTCCCCATCCTGCTGCGGCTTGAATCTACTATTGGTTTCGATGTTGTTGTTGTTGTTGTTGTTGTTGTTGTTGTTGCTGTTGCTGCTTTGGCTGTTGCGTCTGCTACGTCGGCTGCTATTGTGACAGATGCTTCTGCTGCTGTTGGCAGCTATGGAGGACCTCATGATGAGATTGCTTTTCTGTATTTATGTCCATAATCATTAAAGTTGGTTTGGTTTGGCTACCGCTGACGACAACAGTCTTACATCGTTATTGTGTTCGTTCCATTGTCCTAATCTGCGAAGGCACCGAGGATGGATCAGTTCCCTGATGGTGAGCTTATCCGCGACCGCTTATTCGGCAACGCGTAGGCGTGGCTTATTTCGCGGCTACCCTACATATTTGCACGACGTTCCTCTTCTTGCAGCCTAGGAATGTGCCCGATTGAATGCCATGCCCTTTATATTTATAATCTGAGTATCAATGATATGTCTCTAAAATTAATAGCAAAATCGAATGTTCGAAATATGATGATTCTAATAATTATTTTTGTCTTCAGTACAGTCTTCTTTACATCAGATATGCGTTAACATATAGAACCTGTTAAAATATTATTTTATCAATCACTGGTAGATATTTTAACCATTAATAATAATAATATTCGTATTCATAACGTTTTTTTTTTTTTTTGTTTTTTTGTACATTGAAATAAATAATATAGTGTTAAATCTACAGTACCATGAAAATTTATCTAAAACGACAGTTATGAATAAAATATCCCGAAATATTCAAAATCAAACTGATAATCTCTCTATAAACTTGTAAGCAGTAAAAATATTAAAAATACATACGTGACTCTGTTTCGTTGGATTCTGTAGTTATTCTCATTACAAAATATTACTCTCGTTGGCTTGCAGATGACAAATATACAAGTAATCTCATGAATAAGACCATTAGCACAGTAATAAAATCTATCAACTTGTTGGTTATATGAACAGAATCATATACATTTTGATTGTAAATCAAAAGAGGATGTCATATAATATATTTATATATATATATGCAGACATCACTTCATATTAGACGTTTCTAGAACAAACATGTGTATCGCGTTAGACGTAAAATGTCATCATGTTTCCAAAAGGTGCATAACGATTTGGAGATAAAAAAAATGGTTACAACATTGTCACTTTATTTCTGAGTGCTAGATTTGAAGATTAGAAGATAAATTTCAATCAAAAGTGATCATTGTGGTTTTATTCTCATTGATGGTCTAATAAATTATTATCATTACCTGGCAATACTTTTTTGAGCATAATAATATGTAGTTAAAATTAACCAAATTATTTGTTGTATACAAGTGTACACATTCAGTTATATAATATAAAAACCTAAATTTTGAATAAAATAAAATTCAAGTAAATAAAATTTATTAACAAACTATATCTATACGAATGTTTAATCATTTATTATCAGAGAATATTTTATGACAATTAAATACAAGTAGTAATAATGTAAAAAATGAATTGGGTATCATTTACTTTATGTAGTCGTTTATGATAGTAGAAAAACTGTATAATATTTTGAATAAATATTAAACCAATTATTATTATTATCTATAAAAATATTGCTCATAGCAGATGTCTTTATTCGATAATTTCTGGATAATTATGATTTTAAAAATGGAACCGAATCCATAATACAATACTGTAGTCAAATGCAGTTGAAACGTGTGGTCTCAACAGAGTTTAACTTGAATGAGGTTACGATGAAAACTTTCCGAAATTAAAATTGAAAATTTTCTAAAAAGAGTAAACAATGATATGTTCGCATGAAGTTAATATTATTTTTGTACATACATATCTCTTGTAGTTGAGGTTTTATCGCAGTATATTGTGATTCTGTTGACCAGTTTTGTTGCAGCGATTGTAATTAATCGTTAATTGAAGTGCGTACCGTTCAACATGAAAATATGGTTCTGATGTGTATTTTATGCAGTTTACATCATTACACTGTGGTCACATTTTTAAATAACTCAATTTACACGATAATTCAAGGTAAAAAGTTCGCTGCACAACATAGTGTTCGTTAAGTTAGTTAATTTAGTGTTCAGTGTCATTCGTTGCGTGGTCGTGCGATACACATTTATCAAAATACGTACTATTGTCGAAACAATGAGAACCGTCTAATTACGGTTTATACATACGTTTATTAAACTGGTGTTTTGGAGTAGCTGTGTATGTAGAAAGTTCAAAAAATTGTAGAAGGATTAGATTCGGGAAATAGAAATAAGTAGTTTTGCACACAATATAAACGTGCGCAGGTTCATACTTAATCTTAAAAGAAATTTTTGTTTGTGATTGCCCTGCGCACTGGACCACAACCT